TAAGCTTGAACCACTAAAATATCAAAATTACGATTTAAGCTTTCTTAACTGTGTTATTCTGAAACTTCTACCAAACCCCCAGGAGAGAAAAAACTGCTCCCTTTCTACACGACACGCCTCAAATGCTGTCTGGGATGGACAAAGTTGAATGATCCAGTGCTGATAAAGGCCCAAAGATAAATTGGTTTTGTGGACAGAAACAAAGTTGTGAGAAGGTTATGACAAGTTTGCGCGACGAGTGACAACTTTTAACAATCAAACTCCGATACGAGTTGACCAACTTACTTTGTTACACGGGAATATTTATATTCTTCGCACTTTTCTGTGTGAGTGTTTTATTTTAGGTATTTTCTAAGATCATGATTGATTTAATGTAGTTATTATGAGTGATAGAGTAACAATATGTGTGAGGGGTGTGGTACTTTTTGTTCATAGTTAATTTTTCTATCTAAAATATTAACTAAAACCCTAAGGAAGCGTCAATCAACTACCAGCGGTCACAGCAATTTATGGACAATTTATAGCAATTTATGGAGAGAATCATTAAATATTAGATAAGTTGGTTTACCATGTAAAACTGCCTTATTATATTTGGATAAAAGTAAACCTAAATGATTAAACGTATCTTAACCCAGCAACTAGATTTAATCTCGAAGTTAATATAGACTACCGTACGTTAAAATAAAAATTATTGAGTTGTTGAAAGTACTACGATTTCTAAAACTACTTTTGATTTCGGATTTTTTTTACAGAATTAAAAAATTTGTCATTGATGCAACTATACTTTGAAAAGTACTAACCCAGTCCATTATTGGTTAACAATGGTAGTTCAACTATACATGGTTAAGTACAAACTTATGGTGGTGTATTGGATTTCAGTTACCAGTAACTAAATTCTAGACTTTACCTTCCATACAGTAGCTTATGAACACAGCGGTGAAAAATTTAAGTAGTACATCATTAAATAGAATTCCTGACCGGATATCTAAGACAATTAAGTAGGCAGCTGAATATGAGCCCACTGTAATATGAGAACATGAAGTCATCGTGGTGAGGGCCCTCTTAACTGGTTGATATCATTTTAATAGAGACATCAAGGGGTTAGAATGGATTCGTCTCGAGACCAGCATACATATTACTAGTGTTCCTGATGGAGGAAGTGGACAGTTGAAATATGTACTAATTGAGGAACAAATAATGACACGTTGTCATACACAATCGAAGTGAGTAGGCGAGTATGAGTATGAGCAGTTATGTAATCAATGTATAAGCGAAAAAGAGTAAAAGTAAAAAGTAACATTTTAATTTTAATTTAAACAGAAAGATAAATGATCGTGCATTTCGATTTTTTATGTGCATTGATTTTGTGGCAATGATAACGAATAGGTTTATGAAAGTAGCTAAAGTGGTTTAAAATCAACCATAATTAAATCGTGTAAAGAATCTTTAGCTTTTTTGTTTTTCTATATTAGTACGAATAAAATTCTTGTTCATTTCCAATGCATAGCTAAATACATATGCTGTCTTATTGTACATTATCTCACTTTCAGTGTACACTGTATTATTTAACATAACTCATTAAAATGATAACATTTCTCGTTGTAAATTATTTCGTTAAATATCCAATGATTGTTTCCAACAAACTATGTTTTTATATTAAAATACTAAATATGAGAACTTCTAACTGATAACATAAAGAGTTTAAAAATAAAATGTCAGGTTCTTTGGTCACTAAAATATTTTTATTTTGAAAACGTCTTCTCCATTATGTAGGCCTACTTGATAGCAGAAATGCTGAAACTTGAAAGCTTTGACCCTCTTAAGACCGACATGCATAATGATTTACTTGCTGATTTTTTTATTAGAACAAACGGGCGAAAATATAAATTTGAGTAAAAATGACGTAGGAAAATAAATAAATACAACGCTAAAACTATCTCTACTTGAGTCACCCATTGATTACTTTGATTAGTAATTATTAGTATATCAAAATTTCTTGGTCACTCATAACATGTAGCACAGGAACATTAATTTTAGTATCCTACTTCAAAATAGTCCTTGTAATTCGGGTTTATCTTTCCCTCTTTGACGTACAATCGACAAAACTCTGTAAGTATTTCTTCAAACATTTCTGGCATTTCTTCAACTGAAAGAAGATAAGACATAAATAACACTGGAATAATACTTAATTGAAACATAAATGTTTCAAATTGCCGATTCAATAAATTATTAGTACGAGTTATATTTCATATGTATTAAATGAGTACCTATTGTTTTTACTTCTACGTACCTAACTATATTTATAAGCTGGACATTTAAAAATATCTTTTAGAACGGAATTCATTTTAATAGTCCGACAAAGCTAAAACTAAAATGTCTCAATTTTAATAAAGCTTGAACAGATATAATATTTTTTTATCATTCCAACGGCAATACTTTAATTTACATTTAGATACACCAGGTACCACTAACAGCTACATGACAAAACAAACAAACAATAGAAAAATTGCAAGCAATTAGGGGACTAACTTTTTTGTAACACTGGTATATAAATACTTACCAGCCCAATTTCCTATAAACCCAATGACAAGAGAGTTCGGTACATAGTCAGACGTTGGTGACACTTTCTTTGCAAATCCCCGACCTTCGTAGACGTTGCCATCTCCTCCGATGAGAAAACTGGAATTTAGATGAATGTAAAATAAACGACTACAAAGCTTTGGAATTTGCATATACAACAGGATGTTAGGTAAATAACTATTATTAGTTTGTATTATAGAGAGCGTGCTTGTCTGCGGTCTCCATAGTTCCGGGCTGAACTCCCGCCAACCACTGATGAATTTTAGCTAAAAGATATTGCCGCAATTCCTAGCCTAGCTTATGGAAAATGTTAAATACAATTCCACAGTCCTGACCTAAAGCCTTGTAGAAAAGTGGCTATAATATGAATTTTAAATTATAATTCCACTCATTTACACTTTAATATTATTTAGATTTTTATTAAACATGCTAACATACGACTATATTTTGATAGGTGTCTGATAATTAGGTATTTAAAGATATTGTACACGCTATAATGCGAATCTCTCCCTCCTCAATCCCTCTAAATACTTCAAAATAATTAAGTTTTTCAGCTTACAATTAGTTTGACAGTAAATAACCTGTAGTTAAATGCTTGATGTTATTGCACTAATACCTCAACTGTCTTCAGCGGCCTGATCCCTTACTTGTAATTTATATCTGGCATCTTTTTTTGGTAGATGTCAACGATTTGGATCTCTTGCATTCTCCTTATACATTCGGATTTGGTGGTGCAGGGTTTGGTGTGTGTTCCATGAACAGCTAACACCTTCATGATGGGGTTCCATAGTTCTGTTCTCGCTTTGCTCTCAAGAGCTCCCCATTCGAACCTTGTCACCTCACCAAACGTCATCTAAGTGTGGAAACAGATGATAAAGTTGCATCGGCTTAATACTGTTATTAGCACTAATATCAATGACGATTGAGTGTTCTTTATTCCAAAAAGAAGGGAAATGTTTAAATTTACCAAAGAAAACGAGGCAATCTGAAGTAAAGAATTTGGGTAAATGGAAATATGATGAAGCAAAATTGATGTGAATAAGAGAGAAGAGAAAGTGATGAACTAAAAATGGAAATAATATATAAGGGAAGACCATTGGATGTTCAAAAAAAGACGTGAAAATGATCCAAAGATTCTCAAACTTTGAAAGCCGATGAAGAAGATTCATAGGATCTAAATAGTTGGATGCAGTTTTTGGTGAGGTTTAAAGTAAGTGGATGAGCTTAAAAGTAAGTAATTAAATAACAAGTGAGAGAGCGGGCAAGAATGAGGCCTATAGTTTAACCTTATTTACCTAATAAATGATCAATAACATGTTTCATAAAGCCACTTCACTTGAAACTAATCGATTAGTTTTTATATTAGACTCCCGTTGGTTCAAACATTAAGAATTGGATGTTTACATAGTAAATAGAAAGAGTGCTTTTACTTAACCCATTTTTTTACCATCTCTAACAGTTACTAAGTAGGTGTTTGTTGGACTGTAATCCAACTTAATGCTACTAAAAAGCACGTTTTGACATATTCTTTGCGACATTATTTTTCATCATAAAGTAGAAAATCTTCAAATAAAACATTTCCTATTGTGAGTTTACTTCTCTTATGTGCGAAATTAAACGTGCAACGCACGCAAGTCTTGATATACAATGTGTTCATTGTTTAAGAAAAAAAATCGATTATTCTATTTTTTACCTCCACAGACAACACAATTCACTCACCTTGATAGCGTTTCTGTAACGTTACTTTTATCCCCTTAGTTTAAAGCACTACTAAACAAAACTTCTCATTATAAAATGGCTTGTGATAATAGTATCTCTAATATTATATATTAATTCTAACACGGATAGTAGTTGATAAGGGTGTGAAGATTATTGTTGAAAGATTTAAGCAGTTAAGATTAAGCGATCAGATATAAAAAAATAGTACATCTCTTATTTTACTTTAGATTACAAGTTGTTTGAAAAAAAAACACTTTGTTATGATATAGTTTTCAAAGTAAACTTTTAAAATTTTATGATCATTTAAGTGTTATGCATTTTTGTTAAGTTTTTCGAAAATATTGTTTATTTTACACAGAGATAAGAGTATTTATAAAGGTTTTCCTTTGAAAACTTCCTTTCTTAATTAAACCAATGATTGTTGCTGTGGGGTTAGGCCTATCTTTTGTACACAAACTAATGCAAACAAATCTTAAAACATTATATTATGCATGTTTTCTTTTACTTTAGCAGGTAAGTTGTTACCTGCGTTTTAGAACATTTAGAAAACAGATATCACCCCAATATATGCTATCTTGTTATTCGTGCAATTCTTTGGCCCTAAATGTCATGTTTGTTTACTGTACACTATGCTCTTAACAGCAAAGCATTGCTGATAAGAGTGCAAGGAGCTTAAGAAAAAATGTTAAGGTTTACTAAATTGCGTTTTATTTTAGTCTAAGTACAAACCCATAAATGCAGTTTACTGTCTTGTTTCAAACTAAAACATTTGGTACAACCAGAGCTCTTCTAATTCCGTTAAAATTATACAGTTTAAGTTAAAATCACAGTTTACAACTTTGTTTTATCCTCCAGAATTCTCCATTAAATATTTCTTTTACAATATATCCATCTTCTACAGACTTCTTTATAAATAGATCAAGTGTTTTCTTTATTCTGCGGGGAAGCGTTAGTCCTGAAATATTTTTGCCAAAGTATTAGTTTTGTAATTCAGTACAAAGAAAACTATACTGATACAATTGTGTATAATTAAACTGTTATCGTTTATTTAGAATAGTTATTGGAATTTATTTAAGTCACTATAATTTATTTTGCAAAGTTTTTGTAAAAAGTATTATGCTCAGTTACCCTTCTAGTAATTTTTGTAAACATGAAAGTTTTCCAAAATGCAAAGCATACTTCGTGACAAACTGACTCAAAAGTTTCGAATTCTTTCTAAAAAAGTTGAATACAACTAACTATTCATATTACTTAAAATATTTTGGGGAAAACTATCTGTGCACAACAATGCAACACCAAATACAAGTAAAACAATTTACTTACAAAACCAAACGTTGTCATAGAGTTATGAATGATTTTCTGTTAAAGTATGACTTTGTTCACCATTATATTGTAAACTTTATTTATTACTAAAATCATTTATAAAGAGCGGGATTTTTAACCTTGAATTTGCTTGTCCGCTATGTCTTAACCATCCTGTGCATGGAACGCACTAAGCAAAGCAGGGGTGTGCTGATTCATACTGATCTAATAGTAAGTGGTGTCAATAGAACACAAGCCTAACACATTTTTGCATTGATTTCACATCACGGGCTCATTATATTTTTACTATTTAATTTCTCCTCTCTCATGGAACATCTAACTGACATGTCCTCCGCTGTACTCACTGTTGTATCTGCCGATGCAGCCAATGGCAAGGGTGTTCCCAGTCTCCAGGGAATGGTGAGGAAGTCTGATGATCTTCTTGGTCCAGCCTAGACCTTCGTAAACATTTCCATCTCCTGCTATTACGAAACTAAAAAAAACATTAATCGTGTTTAAATTTATTCGATCACATTCATTCTTAAATTACTATTTTTAGGTATATTATAACTTAACTCCGTCTAAATGTTAAGGCCATTCCTACCTAACAAAGGAAAATATCCAGGAATGTGGGCCTCAAAGGCGTGTTTAATTACCTTCTTACTGCTGGTCATTACAATTTTTTGTCATTATTGTTCTGGTAAGAATAGTAGTAGGGAATGTATACGGATCTGGGTGGTTTTAATTCCTAGACTGAGGTGATAAATATAATCATTAAATATTCTTCTCTGGATATCATATCGTAGCATGGGCGAAACATCTGATATTTTTAATTGGGTAGATTGTGTAAATGCCAATTTGACACCAATCTACTGTAAGGCCAAGAATTTAAATCAAATTGGCTCCTGATAGTAAATGTATTCTATACATCAGAAATATTAATTTCTGTAAGCCAGATCCTAAGGTGGTTTTACACAAAATGTATTTTTCCACCGTTACGTTTACTGTCAGTCGTTACTTGTAATAAATAAATGCTCTAGACATGTTTAACATTACAAGGGAAGTTACGAGTAATCAGTAATATATGGTCAATTGCATAAAAAAACATCAGACATAATGCATAAATCAAATAAAAAATCGTAATATTACAAAAACATCATAAAGCATGTGCATGCCAACTCAAGCAAAATTGTAAAATCTTATTACTGATCTTGACACTTATACATAATGCTAATTTAAGAATACAGCATTGTTGAAATTTACAAAAAAAGTCTCAACTAACTTGAGGTTTATGTCAGGCCACCCCAGATGTAAATGCCTCCTCTGTATTCCGAAGACAATTTTCTTGCAGGTCTTGGTCACCGTACATCGGTCCATGTTCAGGTCATAAATCACCCGTAGTTTCCTGACCGGGGTGTGCAGCGGACGATGGGCAAACCCGGGCTTCGCCCCCCACTGTTCCCGTGTAAAAAACTTCCACTGTTTCGTGAACATATTACGAGGATCATCATCAGGGTCTATGATCTTATTATCGTCTTCTGAATCATACTTTCTATAACTCGGAATCTTATCGTACGCTTTCTTCTTTTTCGGCATCCTGCTGGACTGTGAAAAGACGTAGTGGTGTATTATTATAAGATTCTGAGGTATTTTCTTAATTCGTAGAACGGTTTCCCAATTGACCAAATATAATTTTTTTACTTGACATCTTGTTTTTGTATTGTAATTCAATCTATTTATAGTACACATATCATTGAAACAGATTACATTTTTGACTCATCAAACTAGAAGTTAAAGTTAAAAATAATCTAGTATTTACTTTTTGTAATGGGCTATGAAGTAATTTAGATCAAATTAGATCAAACCTAGAAGTTTTATGAAAGATATTAAAACGCAGTTGACAAAATACGTTGTGATTGAGATAAAATAACTCCAGATAAAATATAATTAACGAGTTTTACCCCTAAATGTGTGAGTAAACATACCATGTACAAGTACAAATTCAACTTAATTTACAGTTAATATGCTCAAATCTTCAAGTACTAATAAACAAATTGTCTGAAACAACATATAAGCTAAAGAATAACAGTAGAGTAAGACGAAACAACACTTTTGTAACCAAAGCAACCTATCATACGAAGTGATAATACACAACGTGCATTATTTCATAAGCTACAAATATAATATTTGATGTTCACATCAACACTGTCTCTCTATTTATAAGGACTTTTCTAAGCGAAAATTTAATAGGATTAAACAACCTTTTCAATATCATTGTAATATTATAATTTACAGAAGTAAATTACATCAATTTTACAAAACTGAAAATATACACACAAAAATCTTTCGGTCATAAAAAAACTTGAAAACTCACATATAACATTTACAGTAGATGATTAAAATATTTACTTACTTTAAATCACTTTCCTGCTAGTAAAAAAGCTGCAAACCACTTCTTAAAAGTTTTCAATCCTTACAAACCCGTGTATGACTCACAGTCTATTTAGAGTATGCAACAATATGTAACAATGGAAGGAGACTAACAATATCGGCAACACTAACCTTATTCTGATTAAAGATTATTTATGTAAAGTCGTTAGTTGATTTTCTAATGGAGATAAGGGCGTCAATAGATAACGTGTGTTTACAATTATGTAAATGACTACATTGATAAATTCGTGGTGGTTACTATATCTACTTTATTTTTCTAAGAAAGTGATTGAGGCAAATACAAGCCCTTTTAACTTTTAATTTCTTAACAATTTATACATTTTGCCATTTTTGGTTTTTCTATTTGTAAAATTAACAATTTCACAACTAAAATAAAAGCTTTATGGTTTTAAAAGCAGAGTTAAACAGATTAAAATTAAGGGTTTGAAGTTTTTTTTTCAAATATCGTAGTTACTATTGTTATTTTTATTTACTTATTATTAGCAACTTAAACTTTTATTCATTGAATGGACATGATTTATTATTTAAAAACAACAATTAGTCTCAAGTAAGCTATTTTTTAAATGCTGTAGCTAATAGTGTATTTCAAATAATAAATAAAAATATGAAAAGGATTTTTTAACTATAATTTTTATAGTAAAACAGTTATGATTTTAAACATTGATCTTTTGAGTTTTGAGATGTGGTACGAAAACTTAGTACGAAAAATAAACTCATTATTGGTGCACGAACACAGTTTTAATATAAAATATAAGTATAGTAGCGAGTAGTAAACGTAACTTATAGTGTTAAAGAATCATTAATGGATTGTTACATTTTTATTTCAATGTGTTTTTCTTTACTGAGTTTCCCTTCTTCTGCAAAATGGACGATAAACTCATGGAATGCTTGGAACACTACGTTTGATGGTGGATTAGCTGAAAAAATAACAAAATATTTTACTTAAAATTTCCAATTATCTTAGAAGGAGCATTACAGATATTCTAATGAATATAACTTCAAACGATTACAGTCCGGCAAAATTATATCTTAAGTATTTGCAACTGGATCTGTATCTGCAACCGTAATTTTAACAGCAACTGCAAATGTAACTGTAACTACAACTCCAACTGAAACTTCAAATGTATCTGTAACTGCAACTGCAACTGAAAATAAAACTGGAACTGCAACTGAATATGTAACCGCAACCGCAACTTCAACTGAATACGATACCGTAACTACAACTGCAACTGTAATAGAAACAATTTCTGGGATTGAAACTTTTACTGCAATTGTTAGGGTAACTGGAACTAAAATTGAATCAGATTCTAACTACAACAGCAGCTGTCAAACTATGACTATTGCAGATTACGAAGAAGCAGTATAGATCAACAAGATATATTGAAGGTGTTAATTTGACCTGTATACATTTCATGGTTGGTAATATTTTTGAATATTATATTAGGGATTATACACCTTAAAGTGGGGTTTTATACATGTCTCGCTTACAATTTCTTTAGGTAAAATAATTTTTACTTATCTTTGTAAACACATTTTGCTGAAACTCAAAGAAACACTTGGACCCTTAATAGTTTTTGATTAGGTATAACCTTTAGACACTAGTATTGTGCCCAACCTACTGTACTAGAATGCTTGTGGTCAAGTTGTCAAACATAAACAACACTAGTATTAATAATATCAGTATTACTTACCTATTATATCGCCTCCGACGAAGCCTATGACAAGGTTATTGCAGATATTAGTTTGCCAATTTTGATGTTGTTGGACCTTTCTCTTCCATCCTCGCCCTTCATAGACGTTGCCGTCCCCACCGATCACAAAACTACAAGAAACAATAAATTACGAAACGCATGGTTTTATTTGATTTTGTTTGTTCATATCAAAATATGTTTAAGACATAAAATTGATTTGTTTTATAAGTTACTTATAACGTAATAAGTTACGTTTAACGTATGGTCTTGAATATACAATTCCCGACGTTAACAAATGCAGCAACATTTTTCCTCAGACCACTGACTCACGGATAATTATAGGGGATTTAGTATGACTACATGGTCTTATTTTTTGCGGACTTTTAGAAATTTTGGAACTATTTGAATAAGAAAGAAAGAAGGTTGAATAGTATCATCATTTTAAATACATTTTTGATGGTTCTGTTTCCGTAAAAAATAAATTACGTTTCCTATTCCTTTTAGACCCCAGAATCTTAGTCATCTCGACCGCTTTAAATTCTGAGCAAATTTTGAATAAATGTTGGTTTTTAACCTAGATTTCAAATACTAAAATTATTGATTAGGTTTGTTTTAAAGACGAAACCTTCATAATACCATATTAACCATTTCAGTTTCAGCAATAATTAGCATTATATAAATTTAAAAACATAAATAAAACAGTCATTAACCTTAACAGTTGCCTCTTTCTCCTATCTTACCGTGACATTGTAACAAAACATTCAGTGTTACCATAAGACATGAAGGCAGACTGCAAAACAAAAATTCCCAGCTGATCTCCATAACCTACACAATCGATGCGTACAGGTCTGAGCAACAGAAAGATCCAGAAACTTCAAAAAAAACAAATAAACATCTAACCTACACAATCGTGTTGGTTAGGTGGTCAGGACTTAAAAATTTACCTACACAAATGAGTGTGCTGGGTCTGAAAGGGATAAGTCACCAGTTACAGCCAAGTAGCCACTTACTTTAAGTTTAGTTCATTGGTTATTAACCTTTATTTTTGGTTACTCCTTAATTTTAATAAGTCTCTTCTCTTTCTGGGATGAACCGCAATCAGTTTATACGGTAATTTCCTTAGGTGATGGGGTTTATTAATTTGGCAGTTTCGACCACAGCCACCACATCAGATTTCATGAAAATATTTGCTACAACGCAATGTACGTGGTTGAGTCAGATGGATACAAGAATACAAATGATGGAATACAGATGGATGGTCAGAAGAATACAAATGATTTACTTAATAAACTGAAACATTAACCAACCGTTCGCACAGACGTTTTTGGCCTAACTATACTGACTCGTGGACTAATATACTGTACTAAAATTCTCACCCACTTGAAGTTAATGTCTTGCAGGTTGTCCTGTTGTATGTGGACCTTCTGTATCTCCTGGACTGTTTCTCCGCATTCTCCTCTGGTGTAACAGTGATCAGATTCTGTGTCAGAGACTATTTGAACAACTTCTACAGGACTCTGAAGTTCCTCGCAGTCGTATTCTACCTAGACAAGTGAGATTGAAAAGTTGTCTCTATAAGACTTATTTCTTACATCCATAAAGTCAAGTGCATAAGTGGGTCTATAAATAATTAGGATAACATAAAAAATTTTAAAATCAACAATATCTTTATGAGAGCTATGAAATGAAGCACACACATGCTCAGAAACCTCTACTTTTGATAAAGGAAAAATACATCCAACAACACTTAAAACATTGATTTACACTTATAATGCTCTGCAATAAGGTAAATAAGTTTAAATATTGATCAATCACGATGGGACTAAGCAGTTGTCTTCAGACTTTATGGCTCTTAACGTTTGCTTACCTTAATCTAAAAGCAATTTTGCAGTATAGATTTACACATTTTAAATTTAAATATTTTTTTATGAAATGAAAAGAAACTAATAAATCACACCCTATACACAGTGAAACTAGATTCGAACGCGATTTTGGTTTAAATATTTGACCACTTAGGATACGGCATCTTTAATTTATTATCAACAGTTGACCAAACATAATATTACTATATGCTTATGTTAAGCTGCAGGAATAACTTAATCTTGATTTTATTTTTCCAAAAGCGTCTTTAAAGAAGAAAATTTAATATTATAATTCTGTACTTACCTCCTGTGCACCCCAATCTGCCCTAGTAATCAGCTGGAATGGCATTACCACAATTATAATTCATCCATAACTCAAGTTTAGTGTGATTTCTAAAGGTTTTGGATTGAAAGACAAATCAAACCTGGCTATCACTAAATACAATATTTATATGTACAATAACTGTATGCTAACCCACACATTTAGTTTGATAAAATGCATACATAGGTTTTGTATTTACAACACTAGACAACCGTGAAGGTTTTACATTTTTGTTGTGTTACTACAAACGTCATTCATATAAGAAAAGTAATAAGAACGATGATGTAGGCTTGATATTGTTGACGTACATTAGGGATATCTAGTTGATAAGTAGTTGTTACACATAACTTTTAACAATTAATATAAGTTACTTAAATGTATCATTTCCGTGTTTGATTGCATTCATTGGATTAGTGCTTCATTTTTCTACGCGAATTGTAATGATAAATTTTAAACACATGGTCAAAATCCACTCAAAGTCATGAACGTATCTAATAAAAATCATTAACTGAAAATATGAAAATTCCTGTAAAACTTTTTATTTCAAACATTATGTCCTCCTAATTTTCAGGGAATTTCCTCATCACAAAGATATTGTGAAATATTTAACCATTTAGCCTGTCAGTCGAAGGCCTCAGACAAATGCTAACGATAGGCTTCGTCTAGCAGCAAATTATTATGCAGCGAGTAATGCCTATTGGTTGAGTCATAGGTCGGGGTCGTAGAACTTTTGCTTGAAGCATTATTTTATGCAATTCTACCATTACATTACATTACATTACATTACATTTACATTACATTACATTTGTTGTCATGAGAGCCGAAGCCCCCTGACTGCTTACCCGGTACCTATCCTTCAGGACATACCCGGGCCCCATGATGTAGGCCGAAGCTTACGCATCAACCTTTAGCACATCATGGGCGGATGACTTAAGGTCATCAGGCTCGCCGGCTGCCGAAGCAGACCCTTCGGAAAGAGGGTTGCCCCTCAATCCTAACCAGGGATTCCGGCTGCTTGTTTAAGCGTCACTCCACCTGGGTTCCACTAGGTCGGAACCTAGAGGTCCATAGTAGAGCGCCCCGACGCATTTAGTGCAAGCAACACTCGGGACCTATCTAGTCCCTGACAGGCAGAACCCGCCATCAATAGCCAGGAGGAAGGGGACCATCAGCACGCTGACGGGGGGAACCCCAACCTCCCATTTACACCGCTGCCCGATCGAGGCCTTACCCATTGCTGGGAAACCAGAGATAACCAGAGCGATAGATCCCCAGATACCCCTGGCGGGCTCGGACCCAGCACCCGATCTACTTCGTTTGCCCGTCAGACCCAACATCACTGCCAGGCCATCAGGGTTTCCCAAAAGGAGGCAGGTATAGAAGTGGGACCCACCCGGATGAACCTATCCACCAGAGGTGGCGACACCCTTGACTCAATTGAGGTTCCGGGAAGAACCCCCCACACTCAAGATAACCATACCGTCCGTGCTCAGAGACAGGGATAGGTTTGCATAAGTACCTACAAACCGTTGCCCTCACACTGCGGAAAGTTACGTTGCCCTTGAGTGTCCCCGTGAGCTGCGGGTACTTGCCCGTTTTCACCTCCAGGAAAGGTTACTTCCAAAGTCGAGGATTTGCCCACAGAATGCTGGTCGCACACAACAAGCAGGCCGAAGCCCAAAGAACCACAGACACAGGTAGGTTAGAGATTATGATGTACTTCCATCTCTCCTAGAGCTAAACACCCCTCCATCCTGGATAAAGGAATGTCACTGGGACCCGATGCCCAGTCGACCATGTCTGTGGCCAACTTGAAAATGCCGATACCAACACGGAGCATTTACCTCCCCTCTGGGGGCTAGGTATTTCACCTCCCAGGACGAGGCTACTTCCAAAGTCGAGGATATGCCTCACAAAATGTCAGTCGAACACAACAGGTAGGACAGTGTCACAACCACAGTTACAGGTAGATGAGGAGAGGCGGAATTAACGGCGTCACTGAGAGCTAAACACCCCCCCCCCCCACCCTGAATGGAGGGAATGTCACTGGAGGCTCCCCCTAAGGGGCTGGCGCTTACCAGTCGTCCATAACTGTGGTCTACCTGAAGTGCCGGGTCTGACACCGGGCAGTTACCTCCCCTCTGGGAGAGCTAGGGTCCGCGTGGTCGCCCAGGCCACGAACCCACGCAATTCTACCATGGTAGATTATCTGATATTTAAAGCCAAAGGGGCTATTTAAATTGATTCATAATAGCTTCACCAAGTTATAGCTTAAATCTCGTCAGCGTTCGTCAACAAAAGCTTTTAGCACACCAGCCAGTGTTGCCACTTATTAACAACGAAACACTCTTAAACAACTGCATATATAAGTTTAAACCCTATTCATTTATTTGTTCATATTAACTAAATGTTTGATAAACGGAAGTGTACAAGAGTGAAATAAATAATGCTCATTGCACATAATAACACCAAATTATTTCTTTATCAGCATCGTACGTGTTATTACGTGGTATATTAAATTAACTAAAACCACAAAAAAATAAGTCAAATAACACTTGTAATAATATATTTATACTAATACTGTTCACTCACAATATGGTAAATACATATAAAAGTTGGTAAGTGGTGAGAGATTTCGATTGGACACTCCAATCATCATCAGACCCAATAGGCGCATGATTCGTGATTGGAGGGTCAAATCGAAATCTGGGATTAACAAATAATTTGAGTGCGGAAAAAGTGCAAAAAATGGTTTTGAAAAAAAAATTAGGCTATCACAACAAAATTTACAAAGATAAACTATATTATAATAATTATTTTAACACGGGACAATAACTTTAAAAACCTATGAAACATAAACAAAAATATAATATTTTTGTAGGCTTAATATTTTCTTAAGTAAAAATTACAAAGCTTCCACAGCAATTCGACTAGACTACTTAGTAGTGCTCTTGTGTATCGGTATCTTCAGGGTAGAACCGCAATTACAAAAATTATATGCTGGCATCAAATCAAAAGTTCTGTTAGGTTATTTTCTGGACAGAACCCACAACAAATCTGTAAATCCAACAAAAGTCCAACATGTTTCGCATATATCTAAATACATTTGTCACAAAAATTGTTTGTATGCCAAAACCAAATTTTGAGATCTAATGTCTAAATCAAGCAAGGAGTGAGAATGTGGTCCAGTAAGTTACGTAAACTGTGTAGGACGGAATGATCGTATATCAGCGGGACAAGAACACTCTGAGCTGTCATGGGACAATAATCACACTCTCACATAGTGTGGGAAGCACGGGATTGTCTTACAAATGTCACCGGGCTCGGAGCTTGTACGCCAGCTACGGAATGGATTTCAGCTTGGCCTGCCTTCGTCGTTTTAGAAGAAAAATTAAACGGTGAGGTCATGTAACTCCAACAATATGCTTTAAGTGGCTGTCGTAATACGCGACAAGAACTGTAAGAAGATTCGTATATCCATTTTATATTCCTGAACTATTTAACAAATTAGGCTATCTTACCTCCATCTGTGGTCCAAATCTTTATCATCAAGGTAGGTACCGACTAGTTTCGTTGGAAGTGCAACATTGTAAAGCGTGCAGTACGTAAAATGTTCATATGTTGAATGCTACAAAGAATTACAGGTTTCGACCCTGGTTGGATACAAACTGGAGAAGATTCTTAATTTTTAGGAATATGCAAAAATGGGTCTTTTAATCTCAAAGCTCACACAGTTTTCAGCTAGGTAGAGATAGAGAGAGTTACATGCAAAAGAAATCGAACAGCCGTTACGAATTCGAACAGCCATGTGAGTAAGCCTCCAGAGTTTCCTTAATTCCAGATTACGTTCTTAGAGGTTTGAAAGCTGTAAAGTACAATCCTAACCTTTTTGGCCATTTTGTTAAAAGTATACTTCAGTCTCGTGGGTTACAAGTTGAGAAAGAGTTGTTAAATCATCTTAGTTCCTAAATTTGGCCTCAAGTATATGTCTTTCGTTTAAGTTTATCATCTGTTAAGTTACTTACTTATGGCCTCACCTAAGAAACCACACTTAAAACCACTTAAATAAACGTATTTATATTAACGGTATTACATATTGAACACATTTGAAATAATATGTTGATTTTTCCTCTGGTTATTGTTTGTAAAATAATTAGTTTGTACATGTGTACAACATAGTGAGTAAACCATGCGAGAGCAAAGGTTAACATAAGGTTGAGACATAATGCTTTCCTGTAGGCAAAGCTTGGACACCAATAACTAGGTGTTAATGGACCAGCTGACTTTAGAGTAACCTATCGAGTTAAATGTCAGTACACCCACGTACAGAATCGTCATTCTACAACTCTCGTGCCTTATCGAGGTTATTGGTTACAATCAGTTGTGAAGGTAGTGCTGAAGTCCATGTGAAGGTAGTGCTGAAGTCCATGTGAAGGTAGTGCTGAAGTCCAAAGTAGCTAACTATTACAAGCTTGATTTGAAACTGTTTGTTTTAGAATCAAGAACCAAGAATCAAGAATATAGATTAGATTAGATTGATGTTAATCATCCCAACATCAAATGGTTGTTTAAGATTTTAAAAACAATTAATTTACAACGTATATGAACATTTTTGAATGCATATTATACTATTTTAGTAAATCCCTGATCAAATAGAGATACGTAGCAGATGTGATTCTCGCTACATGAATGCATAGCAGCGTCAGCAGGTAGGTTTCATCTCTTACAGTTGATTATTAATGGTTCCCTGAGATGCAGCAGCTGCTCCAGACGGATGCTGAATACAACGGATATATCAGCACTCTCATATCATCTGCATCTCTTGATCACGTCTTTAAAACGTTTCAAGTTGTTTAACTGAGTGGTTCATCTTTGAGCAAATTGCACTTTTGGAAACTATGATAATAGCTTTCAGTACAGATAATACACACTATACGTAGCTAATAAAAATGCAAAACCCTCCCCAATATGAATTTAATGTAGGCTATTTATTAATTCTACCAATATGTTTTATTAATTTGGTATTCCTACCCCAAATGTCACACCCCGTGGATAGAATGATGTCGGTATATTGAATTCGTATAGTTTGAAACGTAAGCACACACCTCAGCGACGCTAGGACTGTCGCAGTAAACGCCAGCTACAGTTTGATCCACCAATCACAGAGCGACACATTCTGG